TATAACAATTCGAACTGCTACAAAATTCTATGTTGAAACCAGTCAGTCACAGAGGTCGAATTAGGGGGAACAGTAGTAAATGTTATAGTGAATTATAAATGAAGTGTTCTGGTGATTTTCTCTCTCTCTGTGTAAGCTTAGATTTGTTGACGTAACCACTTTCCTCATAAAATAGTCTTTTCTGGGTGGGTGGGTGGGTAGGCGTACCTGTCTGAAATACATGAAGAAGAATAAAGAATACAAATCTTCGTAATCTTTACTATTCTTCTTTTTCGTCGTATTTTCTAGTCTGGTTTTAGTTTATCTGTATAAAAAATAATTTATAATTCGATATATTGTCAAGTGTTTTTATTTTACGAATCAATAATCTGCGTCGTGTTGACACTTAAACACTCTGAACGTTTTTATTATTCACATGGGTCATTGATTTGTTATATTTCGGCTGCAGTCTAAATTACACACCAAAACAATGTGAATGAGTCATTTTTAAAAAATTCTAAGGTTAAAATAACCGAAAAGTGACTGAGTGGTGGTTCGGGGGGGTTAGCCTATTTGACTACGAAAATATGTCAGTCATGTATGTATTTAATCCGTCATATTCTCAGAAGTGAACTGAACTCTCAAGAATTGATTTTGTCTGATTGAAGAAAACTGACATAATTACTTAAAATTAAGAAAACAACAAACAACAAAAGTTGACAAGATGGGATCTGTTTAATGATGATTCACTTGATGACACTATCTCTAATATTACATCTTATCTGAAATTCTGTTTTGAAATCTACTGTCGCTAGTGAGCATCTCATTGATTTTCAAGTGTTGGTTTGTAGGGATTTGATTGGTTACAGGATTTCATCATAAGCTGACTTGCCCTATTCAGGTGGGTAGTCACCTGGGGTTCTAGTGAGAAGTCGTGACCAGTAGGGTGCAGCAGGTTGGGCGTGAGGACAAATACTCACCGAAGACATTGGCTAGGGGTCGCGCTATGTCGTGAATTGGCAGAAGTTAGAATTCATGGACCATTGGATCGGGTCCCAGTGGCTTAATGGTATACGAGCTCACCTTGTAACCAGAAGGTCCTGGGTTCGAACCCCAATGGGGTGGGTGCGTACTGATGAAGAGTTCCAAACTAGGACGAAACAGCTGTCCAGTACTCCCACGTTTTCCAATGGTTCTCTAACTGATGTCAGCTCATGATGAAATCCTGTAACCAATCAAATCCCTACAAACCAACACTTGAAAAACTAACTTCTTAATCAAGTCTGAAATGCATAGGTTGAATGTAATATATAACCAGAAATTCATATCCTGCAAAAATGCTTCTTATATGTGGAAACTATTTAAGGAAATCACTGTTGGTAAGCAGATAAACTTGGAGCATCCACTCTTTACCCTCAGCTTTCACCTTGCATCTCCTCAGGTAGAACAAGAAGTAACTTCAGAAAATTGTATGCTCGCACGTCTAAGTGTAAAAATTCTATGATACCATACTTGGCACGTATTTTATGTGATGAAAATAGCGTCAGGCAAGAATTGACTAACCTTTTTTCCTCTAGTAAATAAACAATTTCCTCCATCTATCCTTAAATACCTTCAAGTTTTACTTTTATTATCTCTATTATATTTATAGTCCTGTTGCTTCTTTGTTTTACTCTCATAATTGCAAACACCAACTTATCTCTAAGACTGCTGTAATCTTTGTTTTTTCCCTTACCACATCATGTAAAGAGAACATTATATTCAATGTTTTTTAATCATGCTAGGATTTCTATACCGAATCGACGATACTGTGTGAAACAAGCCCGCGGCAATTTCCACTTGTATTATTATTATTACCTTAGCTGTTATCATTATTATTATTATTTCCATTTTATATGCTGCATGTTTTTGACATTATTGTTAATATGGACAATTTTCTGTGTGACTAATTTTTATTCATAATTTGAGGAAATTAGACGCAATATTGTGTGTGATTAATGCTGAAAATTCCATTCTGTATCACAAGTACTGTTTTTGGAATAAAGTATATTATTATTATTATTATAACTAGAACCTTTTCTGATAGGAATCGAGTTGTTGAATAGTACTCATTGAGTTAGGCTTCCGCATAAGACATAATGTTTCAGTGAAACTTCTTCATTTCATCCTTTAGTTCCTGCAGTTCTTCTTCTCTTTGACTTCACGATTACCGATAACCTCCCGTATCCTCCGTGTCACTCTAGGATCTCCCCGCTTACCTCGTCGTTTCCCATTTGGATCCTATTCTGAAGTCAGTGGTCTTCTCATCGTGTGTCGGATCCATTTCCTTCGGAACATGTATTGGTTGATATGTTGTCGCTATGTTTGTGTCCCAGAGTTTTCTTTGTGGCTGTCTGTCTGTCTATTTTCGGCATAGAACTTTGCACCGATGTGTGGCAGTTCAAGTCGCCTCACTCCATGTAGCACACAAAGCAACAGAAGAAAGTAGAAGAAATGCATAATATAGTCAATAAACAGAGATGTGAGACAAAGGTACAGTATAACGAAGAACAACAGTTTAATTGGAAATCATAAGTCACAGAGTGGATTCATCTGCGCCATTGAGAGCGATTGTTAGCCATATCACCAATTGTCTACACCCATTGGTGTAGTCAACATTGGTGTTTACCGTCTCGAGGACCCCAACCATAAAGTCTACACCTTCTTACGTGGCTTAAACTAACTGTTGTGGATTTCATTGACTGATGCAGCCATATTTTGGTTTGACCGCCGCTAGCTCTTTTCCAGCCTGACCCTATATCAGCTAACATTGCCCGTCGAGGAAGGCGATGACTAGGCATACGTAACACATGTCCTAACCATCTTCTCAATCGATGTAACTTCACAGCCTCGTCGATTGATTTCCCCTCCCACCTACCTAGAACTCGACTCCTGACCTCAATATTGCTCACCTTATTATACCACTTCACACGGAAGATAGAACGCTGGCACCTATGATCGAAGACAGCTAATCTTTTCATGTCTTCCGCTCTCAATGGCCAGGTCTCACAGTCATAAATGAGGACGAAGTGAACTGACGAGTAGTACACGCGCCCTTTGGTTGGTAGCCGGATATCACGTCTACGCCAGAGACGGCGTAAACTGGCATATGCGAAACTAGCCCTCTGTATCCATGCTGAGATTTCGTCAGAGATCAACCCGTTGGCGTTGGCTGATGGTACTTCCCAAATAAGTGAAGCGGTCAACGTGCTCTACCACTTCACTCCCTATTTCTAATCTAGGGGTCGGTGTAGTCCAATCCTGCAGCATCATTTTACATTTGACAAGGGAGCGAACATTCGTAGGTTGCTCACCGCTCAAGGTGTTCAGAAGACTCTGCACTATTCTGTTAGAGTCTACACGTAGGAGGGGGGACTATATTATCTGTATATTCTAAGTCAGCGAGATTATTCCTGCATAACGAGTCAATCCCTGAGTCTCTGAAGTGAGTTAGGGTTAAATCCATTAGTACATCTATGACGAAATTGAATAGAAATGGGGATAATAGGCATCCCTGACGGACACCACTAGTTGTCACCACTTCAGATGACAACTCGTCGTAAGCCCTCATCTGGCTGCATGAGTTCGAATAGAGTGCCTTGATAAGTGCAATGTATTTTCTCGGCATTCCCTTTACAGCCAAACATCGCCAGAGTACCTCTCGGCCGACAGAATCGAATGTCGCCTTTAGGTCAAGAAATATAATGATTGTTGGACGCCGGTAGGAATGCCAATGTTCTAGAATCTGTCCTCATGGCTAATCCTTTTTGGCCATCTGATATCTTCAGTGTAGGACGAAGGCAACTGTTGATGAAAGAGTCTGCAGCAGCCTGTTGGAAATGGGTTTGGTGACGCGCATACCAAGTCGCTGAACAACTATATTAAGAGCACTTGCTTGACAGTGGTGTTGAGGAGAATCTGAAACTTGTTCCATATGTTGATTAACTCAGATTTCCACACTGATTTGACATTAATTAAGATCTGACTTGCGTTGACATTCTGATTTGTGTCACTTGCAATGAAAAGAATACTGCCACCTGAGTGAGTGAAGGGAGTGATCTCTTTCAAATTTCTCCCGTTGGAACTATCACTGTACATGCAGCGAAATAATTCAACGTACCAGAATAGGGTGCTGGGTTTAAGTCTTATTGGAAGAAAACATCACTCAATTCAGATACAAGCACATCCAGTTGATGAGTCCTAAATAGGACGAAATTCACCTGTCTAAATTCTACTGCTAGCCACCTTTAAACAAGATTTATTCTAATTTCAATTCGTTCGATTACTGGAATATTATCGATTTTATTTCTGTTATAGCATCTTTTATTTTCAATGTTCACCGTAGTATATATGAAAAGTAATTTGGCACGGAACGAAATAACCAATATCCCGTGTTGTTGTCTAGCTCAAACTCAGTTGGCTAATGTGTAAAAAGAAATGTAGACTTTAGTTGTTAAACAAAAGCATTGAGGAAGGACTATATAATCGTTAATTATAGGAAACTAGGATCGCTGGTTCTAACCAGCGTGGTGGTGGGTGGGTGAATGGGAGAAAGAGAAGGGAAGAGAAATTTGGCAAGCTTATCGTGTCTTGCAGAGATACACGTGTGGCAAAAATGATATTTTTTGCTTTTCCTCAGAACTAATTTACTATCTTTTTTATCTCGTCTTACTTGCATTTGATTGGTTATCTCGTTCTGCCTTCTGATTGGTTGATTGACTGATGTTTGTTTTTCGATTTACATGCGGCGTGAAAAGCTGCCCTCGCTTATTACACCCACCGGGTTAGACACGATGAAAAATAGTCTGTAAATCGTGATTATTATACACCGGGAAGGTGTGCTGGGAGATGTTCTCATAACTCACCTACCTCTTGGAGCTGCAATTCTTACATTTTATTATTATTATTATAAAATCTAAGGCGAACTGAATACATTTATATATCTGTATATTTTATCGCTTCTTTCATTTCATCTGATACAGTTCAAATTCGCCTGATGCAGTTGCTCCTAGTCTAAAGAATTCTCCAAATATTCAACAACAAATTATTCCTAATTGTCAGGTGGCGAATAAATTCGAAGCTGTCAGAGAGTCTACCTCGCCTTTAATTTATTCATCAAAGAAGGAGATTTTTGGTAGCAAAGAGTCTGTAAGTTTTCTTCTTCTTTACTTTTCTTTTTATGAGTAGAAGAAGCCAGTTTCAATTTATACCTAATCAGGTTTCTATTTCACCGTAATTATTCGATTTTGTATCATTAAAATTATCTAGTTGTCACGGATTTCATATTGTTTGTGAGTGAGTGAGTGAGTGAGTGAGTGAGTGATTGAGTGAGTGAGTGAGTGAGTGAGTGAGTGAGTGAGTGAGTGAGTGAGTGAGTGAGTGAGTGAGTGAGTGAGTGAGTGAGTGAGTGAGTGAGTGAGTGAGTGAGTGAGTGAGTGAGTGAGTGAGTGAGTGAGTGAGTGAGTGAGTGAGTGAGTGAGTGAGTGAGTGAGTGAGTGAGTGAGTGAGTGAGTGAGTGAGTGAGTGAGTGAGTGAGTGAGTGAGTGAGTGAGTGAGTGAGTGAGTGAGTGAGTGAGTGAGTGAGTGAGTGAGTGAGTGAGTGAGTGAGTGAGTGAGTGAGTGAGTGAGTGAGTGAGTGAGTGAGTGAGTGAGTGAGTGAGTGAGTGAGTGAGTGAGTGAGTGAGTGAGTGAGTGAGTGAGTGAGTGAGTGAGTGAGATATTTAACCTACCATATTTATTTCAGTTGGTTCCATGAAGTCTTAGCCATTAAATATTGGCTTGGAACCAAATTGACTTAAACGAAGCGTGTATTCAGTAGTAATTGTGCTAATTTCGAGTCAAAGAGATTCCTTTTCCTCACTTATTATGAAGATATTTAGTTAATAAGTTTAATGCATTTGTCATGGAATCTAATAGAATTCTATTTCCATAAATGGTTTTTATTCTGAACGTATCTAAACACATGAGTTTGATGGCTTTCATTGGTGGTGAGGTGTTTCGATGGACTTCGTATTGGTATGCCTATAAATGTTTAGACAAATTTGTATATGCACAAACATAAAAGGGCGATTGCGAACGTTTGGCACTTACAACGGAACTGGTGGACATGTGTAGATCTACCTAGGGAAGCTGTAAAAACCCTGATTCCGAACAGAATGTTAACCGATTGAATTGCATATGTGAACCTGTTTTTGGTTACCGGAAACCGTGGGGGTGGGTGAGTGGGAAAGTAGCTCCTAACACTACTGCTTTGCTTTGTGGAACAGACTTCAAGCCCTAGGCTTGCGGGGAAGAGTGGCCCCTTAAGAACACCACCTGATTCAACCCTTCGAGAAACTATGCGGTTTTGTGTGGCGCATTTCTCAGTGCTTCTACTGTCTGAAATATCCGATACCTAGAGGCCATTATTCCCTTGAAACAACTGGAATTCTGCATGAACGAGAAACAGGTTCAGTCAATACTCTTAACCTGGTCTTCTGTAGAACCTATAAATTCATAAATTCCGTATTATTAGTTTTTCTTAATTGCTCAGATATTCATTTTAGTTTCATATTGATACATATTGTCACACTTACAGACGTTTTAGAACAATAATCTATTGATCTCAATGATTCTGTGGTGTTTTAAGAACACATTGATGTTGTTATAATAACAATCCATCCCGAAAGTGTTACCTAATCGTGGTAGTCGGGCTTGAATACCGTTTTGATCCAAAAAGCTACACTGGTTGGGACTCACGTTCCTACCATGTCATCAAGGTTGTTTAGACAATGGTTAGACTAAAAAGGCTAATGTGGCATACGTCAACTTGAGCCACCTCTGGCGCCGTCGCGACGCTGTCCTGTCTTTCAAAAGTCAGGTTTACAATGCTTCAGTGTGCGCTATCTCGCTCTACACCTGCGAAAATTGGCCTCTCCGATCTGAGGATGTGTGGCAACTCTGCGTATTCGATCATTATTGTGTCTATAGAATTGCTTGTGTGAGTAATTCTGTAGTCTGACGGTGTGTGTTTGGACACAGTGGAGATCACCATTCATTGAGTGTCGTCATCTGGAAACGCCGGTTTCGGTGGCTTGGACATGTTCTACGAATGCCATCCGGAAGGACTCCGTACAGGCCTCTGTTCGCTAGCCGTGGGAAGGGGTGGAGAAAGCGTAGAGGTGGTCAGCCCATAACGTAGCGCTGTGGGATGAAGGATATTTGTGTTAGGTTAACATCGGTTAGTGCGTTACGACTCCCTGGATGGAGTCCGAGAGATAGCTCAAAACGTTATCAGATATAGCCAAGAATTGTAACCAGTGCCGAACGTGTTGCAATTTCCTTTTTTTTCCATTCCCAACGATAATTGACGAATGCCGTGTGATCTTGTTAAATATAACTTCTTCCTTTCCAGATGAAGTGATTTATCCGTTCTCAACGTGTATTTTTACTTTTTATCTCATATGTTGTTTTATTATTATTGTGTGGCGCATCTTCTTGGTGCCATATTGTACCAGGTTTGGTCTTTTAAATAAATAAATAGTAATGATAACAGTAAAATTCTTATTATTATAGATGCATATAACCATAGAACCTGATGAAGAAGAATTCATCGAAAAGAACATTCTATGTTGCGTCGGTGACATAGCGGTTAGGACGCTCGCCGACCATGCACATGGTCCGTGGTTCGATCCCCGGCCACCGACGCACTCCTTTACCTCGTTAAGCCAGAAATAATGCTGGTGAAGAGGAAAGGTTAGGCATAAGGCTAGCAACCCCATCCTGTAAAATAAACACTGCTACAGGATCTTCAAGCCACTAGCTTGAAGCCCTATGTTCCACTGGGGAACGTGAAGGAGAAAAAATGTTAACCTAATACTCAGTCTTTTGAAGTCACAAAATGACTTTCATTCATAGTAGTGTTGTGCATCAAGGGAAAATTTAGCTTGCAACTTGAAGCTCAATATATGTATTATGTCATTTCTTGATACCTAGTGGTGTTTTATACTAACTTTCTAGCGATCTGCTTAAATCACACTGGGTTATTACCAAATTTTTTTGCCATCCGTCAGAATGTATCATATTTACTGTAGTTCATGCTTTTTTAGCCCATCCTACTACGTTTATGAATTGTAATCTTCTTTCTCGCTCTCTCCCTGATCACACTTTCAAAATTGTTGCAACCTACTACTAGGAATTTTTTCTACAGATAATGGGAGAAAAACTTCCCAGGGTAATCAAGTATACTTTGCGTGCAACAATATTGCTTCAATTAATGCATTATTGATTATTTTATATTAATTGAAGATTTGTCACAGGGCGTTATAAGTACCTTGCAGTAAAACAAGCTGAAAACTCTGGCTGTTTTTTTAAACGAACTTTATAGAATAAAGCTATTGTTTGGAACTATTGGAAAACCAGCACTGGAGTACTGGACAGCTAGCTGTTTTATCAGCCTAGTTTGGGCTTCTTTCTCAGTACGCACCCACTCCACTGCCAAGGTTCAAACCTAGGACCTTCCGGTTACAAGGCGAGCTAGCTCACAGACTATTAAGCCACCGGGACTCGATCCAATGGTCGCCTGTCCATGACTCTCAACTTCTAACAGTTCACGATATGGCGCGACCGATATTCATGATAAAGTCCTGAGACCAATCACATCCTCAACACATGCCTTCAATATCAATCTGACGCTCACTATAGGCCACTGGTCCTATTCAGGCAGGTAATTACCTAGGTTCTAGTGAGAAGTTGTGACCAGTGGGGTACGGCAGGTCTGCGTGTGAGGACAAATACTCGCCAGCGATGAAGTTCGCTAGTGTTAGTCGCACCATATCATGAATTGGCAGAAGTTGGAATTCATGGAGTGGCTAGCATTGAATCGGTGTCTTAATGGTCTATGAGCTGGCTCGCCTTGTAACCAGAAGATCCTGTGCTGGAACCCCGGTAGTGGGTGCGTACTGCTGAAGGGTCCTAAGCTAGACTGACGAAACAGCTGGTTGTCCAGTACTCCAGTGTTGGTTTTCCAGTGGTACTCTGACCTGAAACCAATAAAATCTCCCTGCAAAAAAACTCTCGAGTATAAAGCAATTGATATTAACACACAACTGTTTATAGGTTTCCAGGCCGTAGGTGTTGGGCAAAGAGGGAAAATCAATCGAAGAGGCTATAAAGTTGCATAGATTGAGATGACTAGGTCACGTGCTGCGCATGCCTAGCCATCGCCTCCCCCGACGGGCATTACTAGCTGATATGGGTGCAGGTTGGGAAAGAGTAAGTGGTGGCCAAACAAAAACATGGCCTCATCAATCCATGAAATCCTTGACAGTTAAACTGAGTCAGATAGGGAGATGCAGACTTCCGGGTTGGAGCCCTCGGGACTCTAAAAATCAATGGCTGGAGACAATAGGTGACATGGCTCAAAATCGTTGTCAATGGCTTACGCAGATGTATTCAGTCTCTTGTGTAATCTTTCATATTCCTTTCTACCATTACTCATTCTGTTTCACTCTTATACTTGTCAAAACTCTATTGATTCTCTTCACTCTCATCTTGTTGTCTAGCTTTGTGTGCTATTTGGAACGTGGCAACTCGAAGTGCTGCACTTTGGTGCCAAGTTCTATGTTGAATCCAGCCAGCCAGGCCGTAGGTGTTACGAACTTCCTGGAATAATTTGAGCGCCGAGTCATATTGATTCATTATAAATTATTTAAATTAATCCCAGCGTGTTAAGAAAATCAAAACAAGATTTTTCTGAACGTTTCGCTGTGTAAGCCACAGCTTCTTCAGCTGTTTTGATTTTCTTAACACTCTGGGATTAATTTAAATAATTTATAATGGACACTACTATTTAGTACTGTGTACATTTCAGTAGTAATATTGTTACCCCATTTTCTATTTCATTTTTCTAATCAGGTTGTATCAATGGATTCTGTATCTATGAATGCACTTATGACTTCACCATACCTTCAATCATCATCACCACGTCAACATGGAATTCGCCTTTCTCCACCTTCATCAAACAAAAAACGTACAAATTACAATATTACTAATAAGAATATTAATAGTAGTATTACTAATAATAACAGAAATACTCCATTTACAGATAAATTAAGGCATAAACAACAACCACCATCATCAGTGAGTGATAAACATGACAGCACAAGTAGTGGACGTGGTTACAGTCTGACAGGTGGTACACAAACTGTCCCGTGTCAATCGAACCAAGCTTCAATTCGATCAAGTCTACTGGAATTACACACCTATCCAGATTCACCGAATACATGTGCAGTGGTTACTGATTCTCCGAAGCATCATCATCATCATCAACCTAGAAAGCCTTACTCTAAGGATAACATAATGAATGGAAGCAACAGTAGTACTAGTTGTGATTCTATCGGAACAAGTAGTATACTTGCATGGGATGAGGATGGTGCTGAAGATCATGAACGCCGTCGCCGTCATTCAAAGAAGAGAAAAGGTGATAGACGACAACGCCAACTTGATGGATCACTGGATGAACTAACGTCTATATTGTCAGCTAGTTTATCAATGGATGATGACAATGACGATGGTGCGGATGCTGATAACAAGACTCCAGCGACATCTCGATTACCGTCAGATGGTACGAATGGTGATTGGCCGCCGACAACATCTGAGTTAATCACAGAAACGAATATATTTGCACATGCACTTGAAAAACGATTGGAATACTTGAAGTAAGTTGTATTTATGAATTTTTGGATTCTTTATTGAACACGTTTTGTTCCACAAATATGTGAGCTGTGGTTTCAAGATGATACGCGCGCACACAGTCTCGGTTTAAAAAAATAATCAAATCCCTACAAACCAACACTTGAATATCGATGAGATGCTCACTAGCCACTCGCCCTATTCAGGTAGGTGGGTTCTAGTGAGAAGTCGTGACCAGTAGGGTGCAGCAGGTCGGGTGTGAGGACAAATACTCGCCTGCCGTGACATTGGCTAGTGGTCGCGCTATGTCGTGAATTGGCAGAAGTTAGAATTCATGAACTGGCCATTGGATCAGGTCCCAGTGGCTTAATGGTCTACGAGCTAGCTCGCCTTGTAACCAGAAGGTCCTGGGTTTTGAACCCCATGGGTGGGTGCGTACTGATGAAGAGTCCCAAACTAGGACGAAACAGCTGTCCAGTACTCCCAGGTTTTCCAATGGTCCTCTAACCAATGTCAGCTCCTGTAAAAACTAATTCTTGAAATTGAGTCTGTTGTCCGTTAGTGAAGGCGAAGTTGCCTGGAGTTCGAGTGGGAAGTTGTCACCAGTGAAGTCTATTAGCGTTCGGGTGTGTGAGGACAAATTACTTGCCGATGATGACATTGGCACTAAAATGGCGAATTGACGGCAGTTGGAATTCATGGATTATTGGATTCCAGCCCAGTTTGCTAAAAAAAATAGTCAGCGAACTTGACCTTGTAACCCAAAGGTCATGGGTGCATACTGATGTGGAGTTGCAGACTAGGACGAAAGAGCTGTACATTACTGGGTGGTTAGACCAAAATATACCTCAATAATCATAATGGCTTTATTCGAAAACATTAGATGGTTAGAGGCAATCGGCAGGAAGCCTTGGACCTAGGTTTCGTGCTAGTTGGCACTCTTCAGCAAGGCGTATCTGCAACCTTGAAGGAACTCATGTCCCTTCTGAGATTCGAACCCGCGTCACCCAGTGCTGCAGTCAGAGACGTTACCACTGAGCTATTCGGGCTCGCGATTGACCTCCTCCTAGGACTAGACGCATCACACTAGTTACTAGTGTCAAATCAAAATATCCACCACAGTCATACAGGAGGTCAATCGCGAGCCCGAATAGCTCAGTGGTAACATCTCTGACTGCAGCACTGGGTGACGCGGGTTTGAATCTCAGAAGGGACATGAGTTCCTTCAAGGTTGCAGATACGCCTTGCTGAAATGTGCCAACTAGCACGAAACCTAGGTCCAAGGCTTCCTGTGGCCGATTGCCTCCAACCATCTAATATCATCACAAACAATGTACACCGTGATGGCGAGCTACCTAGAATGGTGGCCACATTACAACCTGACTGATAGAATTCAGTCTGCACCAAAGAGAGGACTAGACGCATCACACTAGTTACTAGTGTCAAATCAAAATATTATTCAAAAACAGTACGTATGTTGCTTCTGAATCCCCCTTTATATTTACATAGTAAGAGGGAAGTAACTAACTGGGCATTCATATATTGATAGTAATGCCAAAAAATATGATTGTAAAATTAAAATTAAGTAGAAATTATTATTATTCCCTTGGGTTCCAAGTCGAACATAGAGCTTCAACGACACAACTCCAATTTCTTCTATTTTCTACTGTCCTCTCCTCTTCATCTGGCTGGGCCCACTATTACTGCTCATAATCTCTTATCTCGTCCTCCTCCCCAACACACCATCTCCTTCATGTCACTCGCAATGACGACCCACTTGTCGCTTCCCTTTCGGACTCCACTCGAGCAATGGCCTGCATTGCATCCGATTTCATTCGATGGCTTCCCACATATTTGTCTAGCAACCGGCTCTTCCTTGGTTGGTTTATTCATCTCCAGTCTTTCTTCTTGCCAGTTCTTTCTAACCAGCCAGCCAGCGCAACCGCCAGTTTATATCACGGGAGAGTAACTGTCGTCTTGCCTGACTTGGTGACTGCCGCTGCTTACGCCTCCTCATTAGAACTCCAGATACTTCTTGTATAGGACAAGTCGCTAGTGAGCATCAGATTAATTATCAGGGATTTGATTGATTGGTTACAAGATTTCATCATGAATTGACACATCGGTTAGAGAACCACCATTGGAAAGCAAGTACTGGATAGTCAGTTGTTTCGTCAGCCTAGTTTGGGGACTGACTGACTGACTCTTCAACAGTACGCACCCCACCCCACCGCTAGGGTTCGAACCCTAGAGCCTTTCGGTTACAAGGCGAGCTAGCTCCGTAGACCATTAAGCCACTTCGATCGTGCACACATTTTCTTCCTTCCTTCCTTTTTAAGCTCATAAAATTATACAATTTAATTCAGTCAACCTTTGTCTTTTTTTGGCCAGTGTTATTCTACTACATCTGTTCAACATTTTGTTTTTCATAGTCATAATTCTCCTAGAGCTTTCTGTTTTCTTCTTCACTATGCCTTAATTTGTTGCCTCTTGTCTTATTAATCGATGTCTAGACAGACACACACACACACACGCACATCGAGTGATCATGATGATGATGATGATAATTAAAGAATACCATACCGGTAAATCGATCCCATATGTGTGTGTGTGTATGCCTACATACAGACAAACAAATTGTGAATCGGTTTCCTGGATTGTGGATTATTCTTTCGATTGTATTATTTCGGATAGAAAATAAATGTTTCTCCCCCTCTCTGTGTTCGTGTATGTGTGTATGCGTGAGTGTGTATGTGTGTATGTGTGGTACAAGAAAATCTTCAAATATTCCCCATTATTAATAATATTTGAATCAAGACATATATATAGGCGAACGATATTGTTGTTTTCATTTAGATCTTCTTCAGACTTTACTCTTATTTGCATATATACAAAAAAATTTAACCAATGACGGTGAGTTTGTGGATCTAATAATAATAAAAGTAATAGTAATTATTAAATGTTCTGAACGTCATTAATAATGATGATTATGCACGTGGTGATAAGAATGACGAAGGTCAAATCCTAAAAGGTATATAATACGGAAAGTGCAGTGGACAGATAATCAGAGTTTAAATAATAAATATCATAAAAGTACGAAGGAAATGGAGAATAAGAAAGGGTTGGAGGTTTCAATGAGAAATTACTTAGGCCAAGGGAGAGACAACCTTCTTTTGTATGCAAAACCACTAGGATTGTCCTCGCGAATTAATATTCCCATAGCTTCGGCTATATGTTTGACAGGCGGGTTCGAATTCCGTTCGAAAGGTGGTTCGATGGAATTTGTGATAGATAACTTTGAAGGCACTTCTTCTGTCCACTTGGAGACCGCTATCATCAATCAATTGAGACAAAACAGAACTTCTTATAGATTATTTATTTGGCCTTTTCCAAACCATGAAGGAAGATGCTCATTAATACGTTTGTTGAGCTGGCTAGTTGTTTGCCCTATATAGCTCCACAGGAGCAGCTAGATTTGTAGATATACATAGAAGTGACACAGCTACCTAGGCAGCTTGCCTTTCGCTTGAGCAATCATAATTGGTTGGCAGCTGGAAAATGACAAACAAAGGGGGGTGGCAGCAGTATAAGTCCCTTTTATTGCTCTCGACAATCTTAGATGTAAGACTTCACCAGTCACATCCCCATTAAATTGAAATTTTAGGAACAGTTTGTTTCTTTTCAACAGTTGTCAATCTTTCCGGTGTTCACGTGTTTCCTTGCAAATCTATTAGGATAATCCATTTGGACCAGCGTATTCTGGATGTATGTGTCCTAATTCATTTTCCAGGAAGTCATCTGTACAGATCCATATTGCCCTATTGGTGAAGCATCTGACCAAATTGAGTAAAGCCGCCTAAAGGTGATCTAATTGAGAACAACAATTTTTCTCGGTTATATGTCTTGTACCACAAAATGTCTCATAGTCTAATGTTTTTATTGATGTGAGGATAAAACTTGGACATTGAGTAAATTTACTTGTGATAAGAAACACACACTGAGTGAGTGATACAGCATTCAAGTGTTTGGTTTGCACGGGGGTTCCCATCCCACTGCCGGGGTTCGAACCCAGGGCCTTCTGGGTATAAAACGATGTCAGAGAGCATTAAGTCACTGCGACCCGCCAATCTAATGGTTACTCCATGAATTCCAACTTTTACCAATTCACACATGATATATAGTGCGACTGTTACTAGCCAATGTCATCTCTGGCGAGTATTTTTCCTCACACTCGAATGATGAACAGTCCCAAACTTGGCTGACGAAACAGTTAGCTATCCAGTACTCCCGGCTGGTTTTCCAATGGTCCTCGCATGGATATCAGCTCATGGTGAAATCATGATACAGTATCGTTTACTGACGACGTTTCGAGTACAATTTACTGTTTTTTTCTTATTCGTTCGTTCTATGTCTTGTGTTAAGTAGTATAATAGGATGAGTCATATTGAAGTTAGACGTCGAGTGTTACGTAAAATGGGGTGGTAATTTGATCGATGAGGTTATGAAGCTACATCGATTGAGATGATCATCGCCTTCCTCGATAGGCAACGTCAGCTGACATAGGAATCGAATGGGGAAGAGTTGCGAGTGATCAAACCAAAACTCGGAATCAGATCATGAAATCTTTCCAAGTTGGTTTAAGCTTCTTGATTTGGGCTCCTGGGAATGTTAAGAACCAGTGACTGTAGACAGACAATCGGAGACTATCAGTGGGAACACCGTCATTCACTGGGGAATGCAGTTGCATCCAGATGAAGAGTCCCAAATAGGCCGAAATGCGCATCCTGGATCCCACTATTGCTCACCATCAACCAATTGTCTTCAAGTTACTGGAGATATGGTTGAAAATTGTGGGGCAGATGTCTTTACTCTTTGTAATCTCCCACATTTATTCAACCATCACATTTCTCCATTTTACTATTCTTTCTCCCTCACGTTTCTGCTTATTATAGCACTTTTAAATCTCTTTCTCTTCTGTTTTCCTTTGTGTTCTACATGGAGTATGGCAACTCGAACTGCAAAGTTCTGTTTATTTATTATCCTAGAAATTTCTTTTCAATATCTTTATGCCTTTATTGGTCATTAAATTAAGCCCTTTGAACATGCGAAAAATGATGTCACATCCCACTGTTGTATTTACCAATTTGAATGTACGTGTGGACACACACATACGTAGAAGGGAGGACTCATCGACGACCTCTGCAAGTAAGGGCTGGCTTCACAGCATATTCCTAAATGGCTCCAGAAGCTAATGGAATCCTCAGATCCCATTAATGGTGAGAATAAGAGACTTAGCTCCTCTATTGCGAAACACATTGCAGAGGAGACAGGACATAAAATTGGTGTTTACACAACTTTTAAACCTATCTATAAAACGTGTTTGGGGGAGGGCGTATCCTAAAGTTTGTCGAAGCCCTAGGTGGCAAATAGGTAGTTTAAACCACCTTTTTATGCGTTCAAAGCAACAGTTCGTCATCACACTAAACCTCCTTCCTTGGTAAACTTTGTTATGATACCAGCCAAGGGAGATGTACTATTACCTCTCTTATTTGTTTAGTGACTGATCTTCACTGTTTTTTTGACCTTCAATATGTCCTTTTAACTTGACACAAATTTATTTTCTCACCTCTTAACTCAATTGATTTCTATGAGTTTGACCACGGAGTGATATCAGTTAGACAAGCATTGAAACTAGCTTGGGAGTACTGGAAAGCTGTTTCATCCTAGTTAAAGAATCATCAGCAGTACGCATCCACTGGGACCCGATTCAGTGGCCAGTCCAAGAATTCTAACTTCTGCCAATTCGTGATGCATTTAGCGCGACTGGTGCCAACCTGTCTGTGGGAAATTCATTCTCACACTTGACTGGTTGAACGTCACTGGTCACGACTTCTCACTAGAACTCCAGGAAACTCCGTCCTGTAGCCAGTCAGTCACTAGCGAGCATCAGATTAATTTTCAAGAGTTGGTTTGTAAGGATTAAATTTGTGTCTATGAGTTTGACCACGGATTGATATCAGTTAGAGAACCATTGAAAACCATCACTAGAGTACCTCCAGACAGCTGTTTCATCCCTCTTTGGGAATCATCGGCAGTACGCACCCACCACCAGGTTCCGAATCCAGGACCTTCATGTTACAAGGCAAGCTAACTCGTATACCATTCAGCCACTGGGACCCGATTCAATGGCCCATGAATTATATTGATTTCATATATACATAGTCCTATGACAAGTCTGTGTGTGATGGATCAGATTGTTCGAAATGTGTTGCACAAATACTACATTGCACGATTCGAACAAATTACGTCTTATTGCTTTATCTAATTTCATAAAGGCCCGACCCCTAGATTAGAAATAGGAAATGAAGTGGTAGAGCACGTTCACCGCTTCACTTACTTGGGAAGTACCATCAGCCCCAATGGGTTGATCTCTGATGAAATCTCAGCACTAATACAGAGGGCTAGTTTCGCATATGCCAGTTTACGCCGTCTCTGGCTTAGTAGACGTGATATCCGGCTATCGACCAAAGGGCGTGTGTACTGCTCAGCAGTGCGCTCCATCCTCCTTTATGGCTGTGAGACCTGGCCATTGAGAGCGGAAGACATGAAAAGCCTGGTTAGCTGTCTTTGATCATATGTGTCTGTGTTCTATCTCCCGTGTGAAGTGGTATAATAAGGTGAGCAATATTGAGGTTAGGCGTCGAGTGCTAGGTAAGGAGGGGAAATCAATAGATGAGGCTGTGAAGTTACATGGAGTGAGAGCAATGGTTAGGACATGCGTAACGTATGTCTAGTCATCGCCTTCCTCGACGGGAAATGTTAGCTGATATAGGGTCAGGCTGGAAAAGAGCTAGCGGCGGTCAAACCAAAACATGGCACCAGTCAATGAAATCTACAACAGTTAGTCTAAGCCACGTAGGAAGGTGTAGACTTCCTGGTTGGGGTCCTCGGGACGGTAAGAACCAATGGTTGGAAACAATTGGTGACATGGCTCAAAATCGTTCTCAATGGCTGGCGCAGATGCATCCACTCCTTGAGACTTATGATTTCCAATGAAACTGTTTTGTTCTTCGTTATTACTATTCCTTTGTTTCACACCTCTGTTTACTGTCTATATCATGCATTTATTCTACTTTCTTCTCTCGCTTTGTGTGCTACATAGTGTGGCGACTTGAACTGCCGCACATATGTGCAAAGTTCTATGTTGAAAACAGACAGACAGAAATTTATAAAGGGAACTAATTTTCTGCAATATTATATTATTACTATTCCCATTGTATATGTGTTTCATTGGAATTCTTTTATGTCTTACAGATCTGTCTATGTTCGTGCACACTCTGAAGCTGAAGCATTAGCTAGTCTTGCTCAATTGATTACATCGAAAAGTTTAACTACTATTCATCGAATGAATGAAGTTAAAGTGGACTGTCACATCTGTAATGGCAACAACGCCAATACCAACAATCAAAAGACCACTACTGAATTACAGAAAAGTCAGCTAAATAGTATCTATGAAAGACATTTACATTTAGAATCTTTATTAGTTCAAGCAATTGATCGGATAGATATGCTGTTGAAGTCCACTTCTCCTGCTGCTTCCGCTCCCTCTCCTACTCCATCGAATGAAACTAATTTAAATCCTTCTTCTTTGAATGGTCAGCTGAAATCTATAAATTATCCTAACCCGAAGTTACTATCATTATCGTCATCCACTAATAATAAACTGTTACGGTGGGATAATAGAAGCACTGCTTTGAAGAATACTGATTCATCATTATATGAGTACAATTCATGTTCAAAAGAAACAAAACATCATTTATTATCTGATAATTTAGATTTAACTGAATTAATGAATCTTAAACATGAGTAAGCCAGTTAGTCAGTTCCTCTGTATTATATTTTTTTTATTTTCTAATTCCCATTTACGCATTTAGAAAGAAAAAAACAGATTGAGTGAAGAAATATGCATCCCTTTTCAGTTATTTCCTCATCACATCGGCTGGGTGGCTCTACACTAATATATGGTCCTTTTTATATCAAAATGTTTTACCAATCAAGTGGTTATTTTAATTAATCAGTTTTAAGTATTGGCGTTTTTATAGGGATTTTGTTTAATTGCATGGAGGATTTCATCATGAGCAGACAAATCAGTTAGAGAACCACTGAAAAACCTGGGAGTACTGGACAGCTGTTTCATCCTAGTTTGGGACTCTTCATCAATACACACCTACCGGGGTTCGAACCCAGGACCTTCTGGTTACAAGGCGAGCTAGCTCGTAGACCATTAAGCCACTGGGACCCGATCCAATGGTCCTTGAATTCTAACTTCTGCCAATTCACGCATGACATAGCGCGACAATTTCGCAGTGTCTTCTTCGCTAGTCCCAGTCGCGCCATATCATTAATTGGAAGAAGTTGGAATTCATGGAGTGGCTGACACTGAATCGGTGTCTGGATGGTCTATGAGCTGGCTTGCACTGCAACCGGAAGGTCCTGGGCTGGAACTCTGGCAGTGGGTGCGTACTGATGAAGAGTCCCAAACGAGGACGAAACAGCTGTCCAGTGATGTCAGCTCATGATGAAATCCTCCATGTAATCAGTTCTAGGTATACCTAAGCGACGGGTGAAATTAAGAGGTTAAGAGTCATCAAAGCATCAGTTAACTAATAGATGTTAGTAACAAGATATCCAAGTTTCGAAGGAAGCAGGGGTGGAAATTATTTAATCGCAGAATTAAAGATAAGTTAATTAATTTGTAGGGGTTAGCAACAAGTTATTACATAATCAAGAAGTATGTGGAATAGTGTTGACTGAGAAGAATCACGTAAAATACAAACAAGTTAATAGAATTAGCTAGAATTGTAAAAATTAACAAAGTCAGAAGATAGTTGCAAGGGGAGGGGAAAAATTGTTTTTAAAAACTTAATACATATTATGTAGTTGGCCATTGTGAAGAAAGGCACTGTACAAATTTCTTCTGGATTGACGCACAGGTTTAGCTTGTTCAGATGAATTTCGATTGCCTTTGCTGTATCCGTGACAGCCGTACTCGTAGACCATGTGGCGAGAGGTTGGGTGATATACGATTGATAAATAACTTTAAAAGCTTTGTTAGTGTGTCGACTTGATGTCCAGCCAGTATCGATGAGTTGAGCTAGTATTGAGCTGTGTATGTCAGCTTTATTCGGACCTTTCAACTTTGTTATTTTTTACAATTCTTGCTATTTGCATTAACTTGTCTGCGTATTAGGTAATTCTTCTGAGTCATCGTATTCTTCTTAGTCACCATCATTATTTTACATATTTCTTGATTATGTTGTAATAACTTGCTGCTAACGCTCTAAGAAACTAACTTATCTTGAATGGCCTAAGTTAAGTTTCACCCCTTCCTTTTTCTTCGAAAATTAGATGTCTTTTTACTAATATCTATTAGTTAATTGATGTTTTGATGACCTTTAACCTCTTAATTTTACACACACACACCCGTCTAGGTATACCTAAAATTGATTAACTGCAAGAACCACTTGACTGTAAAGCCAGCCAATCGATGATGAGGAACTAACTGGAAAGGAATATTTTGATTTGATTAAAATTAGATCTCCGATTGGCTTGATTGTCGTTTACCCATTTGTAGTAGTAGTGCAATAAAAGAAGACAAGGGCCAGGCAACAGATCGTTTATTTAGGAAATCAACAGATATTTATAGATTTTCATCTATATTCTTATAGATTATTGTAAGCAAACAAACACAGTCTTCTGATTGGTGGTTTCTCACTGAACGTTAATCTTTCATCTCTTTGTGTCCGTTTCTTGAAGTTCAGATTATCTATCTGCGAATTATATCCCCCTACGCAAAGTCTGCTGTGATTGGTTGTTGAGTCAGTCTTTGTTCTTATTTTTCTCCTGACCAATATTGAAGAGGTAAACATTGACGTAAATTGCTATCTACCAATTTTTGCTAACAGCCAGCTCTCACCATAGTAGTAGTCTTCCCTTTATCATCTCCAAGCTATTTGGTTATATGTAACATTATAGCGTCTGTTAGAGATGTAACACATGAGTCCTACTCGTATCTTACTGCTCCGTTGGTCTTAAGCACTACCAAGCTTACAACCAGTTGATTGCCGGTGGAAATCTTATTCGACCTAACTCAACCTAGGTAATTAATTGAAGCAGTAACACTATCACTTCGCATTCAATAAGTGTGGCCGATAGCATCATCTGACTGACTGATTGGTTTCAGTGTAGAACTTTGCACGGGTGTGCAGCAGTTCGAGTTGCCATTTAGCATTTAGCACACAAAGCAAGAGAAGAGAGTAAAGAGAGATTCAAAAGAGAAGGAGAGAGATAATAAACACAAGTGTGAGTGAGGGAAAAAGAATAGTAGTAATATGGAAGAACAATAGAGTTTTATTGGATATTATAAATCACAACGAGTGAATGCATCTGCGCCAACCATTGACAACGACGATTTTGAGCCATATCACCAATTATCTCCAGCTGCCATTGGTATTGGTTCTTACCATCCTGAGGATCCCAACCAGTCAGTCAGGAATTCTACACCTTCCCTAGGTGGGTGGCTGGCTGACTTAAACTAACTGTTATGGATTTATTTCATTGACTGATGAAGCCATGTTTTGGTTTGACCACCATATACTAGCTCTTTTCCAACCTGATCAATCCTATGACAGTCAGCTAACATTGCCCGTTGTCGAGGAAGGCGATCGATGGCCAGGAATACCCAACAACACGTGTCCCTAACCATCGTAGTCGATTGATTTCTCCTCCTTACCTCGCACTCGACTGACGCCTCACCTCAATATTGTCCTCCCTATTGTACCAATTAACACGGGAGATAGAACGCAGACAGCTAGCTAGCCTCTTCATGTCTTCCACTTTCAGTGACCATGTCTCACAGCCAGCCGAATATCACGTCTACGCGAAAGATGGCGTAAGTTGGCAGGCAAATGTCAAACGAGCCTTCTGTCCATGAGATTTCGTCAGCGATCAACCCGTCGGCGCTGGCTATCTGATGCAATTCCCCAAACAAGTGAAGTGGTCAACACGCTCTACCACTTCACTCCTCCCTATCTTTAAGCTAGAAGTGAGTTGATTTAGTCCAATTCTGTAGCATCATCTTACCTCATTCAACAGCTGGCTATGCGACAATGCCTGCCACGTGTCAGGTGATCCATAGAATCTCACGAGTGATAACTCAGACATGTTTCGATTTTCATGCATCCTTGCAACAAATTCCGTGTGTCAAAGTTGTAATTATTTATTCTAAATTATTTCGACTGATGAATAAACATTGAACAAATTTACTGTCCCAGCTACAGTAACGAGATAGAAAGAGAGAGAGAGATCGAAAAACAGGCGAAAATCGATAAAATGTGAGAAAAAACATCAAAATAAGCATATATATTATAGTTGAAACGTTAAATAGTTTTGGTTATAAAAAAAAAACCTAGTTGGCTAAACATGTGACAAATGAAAGGATGCTGAACATGTTACTACTGTTACTGCGCATTACGTATCGATCGATCGACTGGTCGATTTTGGCGCAACTAGTTTTTATCTGTATTCGGAACGGAAACAGTATTTTATATTGTATATAATTACTTTGTCACTTTCTAATTCTAATAAATATTACATCATGACATCAATAGATTGGAGAATCAATAATGAAGAATAGATAGATAGATAGATAGTAAGGTCAGTCATATGATCGATAGGGATAAATTTGAAGGACATTTAGTAGTAATAATAATAATAATAATCCTGGCAAATCAATCAAACTACATTTCACATAGCATCAAATGTGATTGGCATTATAGGATGACGAATATTGTACTATACTACTGAGCGGATCATTGAGGGGAAGAGTATAGAGGCATATAAAGACAACCCGAATAACTAGTACACTTCTATATGCGTATGGAATGCGCGTATTTGGAATACTGTAATTTATTACGTAGAATAAAAGATTAGAACATATAGGGTATCAAAATAAATAAATAGGGGCAGTCAAACTAGCCAAACATAAAAACCTAGCAGCAAAATCTAGATTGGTTGACCCGAATAAGATAAGAAATCTAGAGAATAGTTCAGCTATAGCACTCACTACATGCAATCACACACAACCATACAATAGGATGATGGGATAGGATGACAGTTTTAAAATCTAATCTAATGTCACAGGGTGGAGGGAGAGATTGATAACAACGGAAGCTTTGTTTATCGAATCAACTGCAAACCAACACGTGTAATAGGAATGATTCAACACCTGCACCCAGATATCTGGAAAATTCTACTACCCCTACGACGACAAATAAGAGAGGACAAAGAAAACTATAAAACTCAAGTTTCAAAGTCGTGTGATTACAATTGATGAAATGATTATGAACAATAATTGATTTTGTTCGAAACCTTGTCATCCAGTAAATGATACTGTTTCACTGTGTGATATATCCATCTAATAAACAAACTAATATGGAACTAAATAAATAGTAGTATTTGTGTGACAAATGTCGTGCTAGGCTGAATTCAATTTCAAAATATTGTGAAATGCGAAACAATGGTGGTGATTAGTCATAATAGATAAGGAGAATGTGTGTTGGGGTAGGAAAAATTGACAAGTCAGTTCAAGGTTATAAAAGGCGGCAGGTGAGTCAGTGGCTAGTACAAAGTAGTATGTATTAAGGAGGAGATAGTAAGACTGCAATGAACTAATTAATGTGTGATGAGAGCTGTCTACTAGCCAAATTGGTAGACAGTAATTTACGTCAATGTTTACGTTCTCAAGATTTGTCGTGAGACAATATGAACAAAGACTGATTCAAAACCGACCACAGGAGACTTTGCGTAGGCGGATACAGTTAACATATAGATGATGTGACATTCAAGAAACAGTCACAAAGAGATGAAAGATTAACTTTAAGTGAGAAACAACCAGTCAGAAGACTGTGTTTGTTTGCTTATCTAAACTATAATAATGTACATGAAAATATATAAATATGCTTTGATTTTCTCAATAAACGATCTGTTGCCTGGCCCTTGTCTTCTGTTGTTACAATGTGTGAAATGAAACAGGTGGAGGCATATACTGAGAAAAGAGATAATAATATTACTAATAATAATAAGTCCGGATAGTATAAATGGAAAATTTGACGTTATTGAGAGAATGTTTGCATGAAGGGTAATAGAGGGATAAGGGGAAGAGGCACTCTTGGTGAGAAGAAGAAATATTAATCCAAGTTTGGCCACGGTAGGAACAGCCTCTGGAGGTGTTCTTTTTGGATGCAAAGTTCCGGTTTAGTCGATCTTATTGCAACAGCTTCAGCTATGTGTAGGAGACATAAGCGAACTGTACGTGCTAACGACTTCGAAATGTGGTATATAACCCTGAAAGGATGTGTTGGCATCGATTCGATGTCCAGTATCGACCAAGTGTGACCAAATCAAGTCTTTTATACCTTTAATTTCCCCCTTGCTGAACCAAGCTGCTAAATGTTCTCGAATCTATTGTCTCCCATTTCACAATATTTTGTAATTGAATTTAGCCTAGCACGATGTTTGCCACACAAATACTATTTATTTATTTTGACACCCTATACGTACTAATCTGTTATTCTACGTTAAAAAATGTATCCGCCGCATAACTAACTGGTCATTATTGTCACGACAATACTGTAATTGATAAAAACAAGAGACCACTTGTTGAAAAGTGTGACTCATTTTCACTTTGACTCATTCATTTTGCCTCACACTTCTTTTTTGACTCTCTTTGCTCTCTTCTCTTGGTTTGTGTGCTACATAGAGGGAGAGTGGCAACTCGAACTGCCGCACATCTGTGCACATTTCTATGTTGAGGCCAGTCAGTCAGTTAATATGCTCTACACAAAGTATGATAGCTTGAATTATCCCTCACTTTTCGTGTAAAAATTCGACGTTTAGAACTCAGTACATCAGTCGTTATTGTCTTTTTGATCTTTAGTATTTCCTTATTATGTGAATTGATTTCCATTGGTTTGATTTACTATCCACTACCTTGATGTGTTTTTTAGGGGGTGGGAGAGGGGTGTGATTATTTTTATTCAAGTAATCAAATATATAAACTTCCTCAGAAAAGTGAAAGGACAAATGCGAACATCTTGCGCTTACAACCGAACTGGTAGTGGACATACTTGTCTACCTGATAGGTGTTGGGCAGCCGTGATAAGCTGCAAAATCTAAATGACAACCATACGGACGTAGCTCGTGACACTGCTCCTTTGTCTTTTGGAATAGACTTCAAGTCAAAGGCTCACTGGGAGATATAAGTATAAAACTTGGACACTGTGGCGGTAGAGTATAACTCCATTATAGATAAGATTTTGATAAATCACACAGTGTCATACAGTAATATTAACTGATGACCACGTTTCGAGCACAAACTATTGCCACTCATAATCATATCAAGGTACTCACACAACTTTTTCTCTTCATTTATATACATGAGTGGAATTGATGATTAGACATATGAATAAAAATCAATATAGGGTAGGAGGGGACATCTGAGACCCTACGTAGGATTTTCAATAAAGCAGGAATTAGGGTGGCATTCAAACCTACAAACGCGCTCAGATAGGATAAGCTCTGTAGGTTAAACAACCCTATAGGTTGACCCAATTTGACAGAATAATATAATTTACAAAATACCTTGCAATGACTGTGAGTGAGGTCAACTACATAGGTCAAACTAGAAGGACGGGGGTAATCAAATTGTCGAAACATAAGAATTTAGTGGCTAAGGTTAGAATGATTGATCCCACGAAGATAAGTAATTTAGAAAAAAAGTTCAGCAGCAATTGCACTGCATGCATTAACACACAACCACACAATAGGGTGGGAGAGGGTTAAAATTCTAAGAAGTAATCTATGTAGGTGGGGAGAGAGATTGACTACTGAATCCTGTCTGGTTCATCGAGTCTAAACCCAACACATGCAAAAGAAATGACTCAATGCAAATACCAGAAATATGGAAGATATTATTACCGCCGGTCAAATAATCTTAAAATTCTATTTCAATTCACGTGCATCATAACATTCTAACAAGTTACTTATTTATTTTGACTATGAAAACACTCGTCTTATTTCCCATCTGATTGTATTTGACTGATAACACTAATATTATTATTTCTGAATGTACATTATCCTATATTGATTTTTATTCAAATGTTTAATCACATTTCACTCATGTATATAAATGAAGGAAAAAAGTTGTGTGAGTGCCTTGATATGATTTTGAATGGCAATAATTTGTGCTCGAAACGTGGTCATCAGTTAATATTACTGTATGACCACACTGTGTGATTTTATCAAAATAAAATCTTATCTATAATGGAACTCACTGGGAGAGTGGCCTCTTAAGACAATCATCTGCTTCGTTATGGATGTCTAAGCAATATCCCAACCCCACCCCCGCCCAAAATATCAGACTTTGTATGGGAGTGTATTTCTTGGCGCCCATATTTGTATTTCATTGATCGTAATTCTTGTTTGTTAATTGATTCGTCTAATATTTCTGCTTTGTTCTATCTTCATTTTCTCTTGTAGATATATGATGAGAGCCTTCAATTTATGCCTAGATGAATTGCATACACGTGCTGAGCCGTAATTATCCGCGTCTTCCCTCCCCCTCTCTCTCTATCTGTCTCTCCATCTCTCGTTGTTAGAACAGAAGAATTGAAAGTCTTCCTTACAAATTCCTCATTGTTCCAGTATTATTATTATTATTATTATTACTGAATCTTCTATTTAGTTTGTACATGTGCTTTTCCCTGTGTGTGCGTGTGCGTGTGTTTTTGTCTTTCGTGAATTTGTGTTCAATTTGACTTTTTTTATATATACATATACATATATTTGCGTTTTCTATGAAAAAAAGTAAACAGAGCCAACGAGTACAAGCTTATTTTCTTTTGTACTCACTCTCCTTCCTTACCTCCCTACCTCCCTTTTCTACATAACCCTTTTCATGATGATGATGATATTTGTTGATTATGCATTTTTGCCTATTGTTCGTTCCCCTCCTACTCCTCCTCCTCCTCCGTCGTCTTCGTCGCCGTTGCCGCCACAGCTGCCGTCACTGTCGCTTACTCTCTTTGTTTTCTATCATGTGGGACGCCTTAAGAAAATATTTTTCCTTATTATCATTATTATCAGTAGTACTATTAGTAGTATTAACCATTTTTGACAGGATAATGTTATGTAATGTTGATCTCAATGGTGTCAATATTATTTAGATTTCAAGTACATACATGCACACATATATATCTATATGTATAGGGCATATAATTAATAAATACATGCGTATGCTAATATCACAAAATATGTTCTACCTGTGTCTTACAATTTAGTTGCTTCGTCTAGAAGTCAGTCGTTTATATATATTCGTGGTTAAAAGTCGATGATGTAGAGGAGAGATGATTGATTGAAAGCTGATGCCACCGACACACAGCGGTAGAGTGCTGGCCGACCACGCAGGTAGTCCGGTGTTCGATCCCCGGCCACTGGACGCACTCCTTTACTTCGGTAAGCCATCAATAAGACTAGTAAAGAGGAAAGGTTGGGGCATGAGGCGGCTGCTAGCAACCCCATATCCTGCAAAAATAATCACCACTGCTACAGAAACTTCAAGCTGGCTCTAGCTTGAAGCCGCCCCATGTTCCACTGACGATGTAAAGAATTTTTTCCTAAAAAAAAGCAAGTACCAACGGACAAATGATCTTGAGCGCCTTCAATCACATAGTAAAGGCATGCAAATGTTACATAGGATGCCTTTCTTTCGATGTGTGAGAAAAATACCTCTCAGTTTGGGATTGGAGTGTCAAACAGAGTTAATTAAGTACATCCGACGCGTGTAATTATCCTAGGTCTTCTAAGCCTAACAATAACGCTATTCTAACTCGAACCAGCCGTAATATCGCCTTTATTAGGTTAACCTGTTCTTAGCCTAAAACCTTAACTTCATCTTTCTCAAAAACCTAACCTGAAACCTACCAGATATCCCATTTATTAATAACATAACACTTCATGATTACAGTATTATATTTACCAGGTTTCACAAACTTGCTCACTAAGCGTTTCAAGGCCACTATTGCGGTCGTACTCTATTGGTACTTACTGGTGTTCAAAAGTTTAGCTTGGCCACTGATGTTTACGACTATTATTATTTATTGTATAGGTGTTTGTACCGGATAACCCAGATTATTTTCTTATTATTATTCCCTTGGGTTCCCAGTGGAACCTACATTAGTTGACCGTAATAAGATAGAAATCTGGAGAATAGTTAGTTCAGCTATAGCACTCACTGCATGCAATTACACACAACCAACAGTACAATAAGATGAGATGGGATAAGGTGACAGTTCTAAAATCTAATCTAATGTAACAGGGTGACAAATGAGATAATACTGGCAGTTGTTCAAAATTGAAATAATGAGGGACGTGGATTTACAGATTGATTAAACAAGACGAAAATTAAATAGGGTCACATTAGGAATAGGGATTATAATGCTTTAGCATAGACGGATTAAGACCACATAAGAAAGTGGAATGGCGGAACAAACTTTTTCAATATACAAATCTCTGGCTTTTTTATTGCTACAGTCAAAGCTTCAACAATACAAATGAGCCAGTAGACGGAATCCAACTCACTTCTGAGTTAGAAAACGAACAGGATGAGTGGGCCAAACTAGACTGTAGAATAAAACGATAACAATATGGTAAGTGGTTAGATAGTACCATTTATAGAAAGCCGATACACTCTAATAAATACGTAGACTTTAATTCATCCCATCTAGAATCGGTGGTAACGATTTTTTATTTTTGATTATTGCTTAATTCCACACCGTATTTTTGGTACAAGTATAGAATAAGGTTTAGTTAAATGTCTGTATAATTGGGCCAATAGCCTAACTAGTAAGCCAGAATATTTAAATAATGAAATCAAACAAATAAAGGAAGTATTACTGGCGAATAACTAACTACCCACCAGAATTTATTCAGAAATATATGAAGAACCATAGAAAAACTAAGATTAGCAATAAAAATGACGAAAATAATATAGAATTCAAAGCCTCTGTAGTACTGCCACATAAAGAAGGAACATCAAAGGCCTTAAGTAGGATCCTCAATGAAGCTGGAATTAATCAGGGTGGCATTTAAATCAGCTAACCAACCAACTCTCTCAGAGATAAACTTTGATGGCTTAAGCACCAACCCGATAAATCCAATTAGAGAAATAATACAATTTACTAAATACCATGTAATGACTGTGAGTGAGGTCAATCACATAGGCCAGTCAAACTAGTAGATCGGGGTCAACTAGATTATTGGAACATAAAAATCTAGCTAGACACCTAGAATAATTGACCTTGGTAAGTAAGTTAAGTAACCTAGAAAAAACAGAGTTCAGCCATTGTACTGCATTCACTTGCATGTATTCAGAAAATAAGGTGGGTTGGACAGGGTGAGAGTATTAAAAAGCAATACAGTTAGGTGGAGACAGAGAGAGGTTAATCACTGAAGCTTTGTTTATCGATTCAACTATATATATACTTCCTACTGTACACTCCTCTTTCCGAGTCAAACAGATGTCTAGGAATGAAATACTATCATTGCTTTCTTTCTTTCTCGGATTTCTGAACATCGTCCTTCATGATTAAACAAGGAACAAACAAGATCTAATCACAACACACACACACCTTGTACATCTTGCGTATAAAATTAATGTTTGTAAAGGATTTACACCAACTTATCGCATTCCAATTAATCTTAATTTCGCTTTACGTGTCCATCTCCTACTCAGAGTTGAAGCTATCGGAATCCACCTGAAGAAGACAAATCGATGTGTTCAGAATGAATTGGTGCAGCCACTTTCCTCACATTGTTGTGCATCATTACATTATTGTGAACAACTGACAATCTCCTCCGCTCTCCCCCTTCGCCTCCATGACATTTAATAGTTATCACTGTCCTGACTATTTTATAATTCTGACTAATTCATCTTGAATTGCTTATTACGTCATGGATTCGGTCACTCATTTATGTTTAGATTACTGTTCTTATTTGTCTAAAATTATGCATCATGTAATCAATTTGTTTAATGGTTGTAAATGTAAAAAAACACGTAGATCAGCGAAGAGTCTCTTTTCAACGGCGAATTCATTTTCTTAGCTGTACAACCGCAAATATATGTGTGTTATTTTGTATGTATGTGTACAATAAGTTTATCAAACAGACATACAATTGGTTATAGTTATTTAAACTAAACAGGTGAAGATTGGTAATTGGAGTTACGTAACACAAAATCAGTCAAGAAAATTAGGTGTTAGTGAAATTAGGGTAGTAACAAAGGTGATGAGTTGTCACAAACAGTTGTTAAAAGAAGTTATGTAATAATATGAATAGTTTGATGAGTGAGTTTTACTCAGGAAGAACACATTCAACCACACCATCTACAGACAAAAAGATGGTATTGCAATCTGATCTCCGTTGGGTCCACTACTATCAGATTGCTTCGTCGCAAGCCTCGAGAAAGGTCCACTAAAGCCAAGCATTGACAATTTGCGACTGTATAAAAGATACGTAGACGACATATTCATTATTTGTGACAACAACAATCTACTGCTGAAGACATTTAACTGTTGCCATCCAGTAATAAAATTCACTCTTGAAATGGAAAACGAGTCAAGAATTCCGTTTCTTGATGTGGAACTAACAAGAAGAACTGATGGGAGCCTAAGAAGATCGATCCATAGAAAACCTACTTGGAATGGTCAACTAACAAGCTTCTATAGCTGGGTACCTATTCAACAAAAGCGAAATTTAATTAAATCACTTGCCACCCGCATCCCGTGCATATGTAGTCCCGACGTTCTGGAAACAGAATTAGATATTCTAAGAGAAATTTTCCTCCAAAATGGGTACCCAATGAGATTCATCGACAAAAATATCAAACCAAGAATTCGGAGAAAGGAAACTTTATTTGCGCCAAAAAAGGAAACTCTACATGAACCTGGATCTCAAGGGAGATTTAGCAAGAGATATTCTCAAGAAAAGGATCACATCATCTCTGAGAGGAACATTCTTTGCAGCAATGCTAAGAATAGTGTTCTCCAGTCGCCCACTGATCTGCATTAGCCTCAAGGACAAGACCCCGCATCTGACCACTTCTATGTGCATATATAAGTTCACCTGCTGCTGTGAAGTCAGCCAGCTACATTTGTCGTTCGACGCGCACTCTGTCCATGAGGATTCTGGAACACTATCCAGCCAGCATGGTTGCGAAAAGGTAATAGTGGTGCAATAAAGAGTGCGATAGTTGAACACCTGGTTAACACTGATCATTCCATCTCAACAAATGCCTCCTGCTTCAAAGTAATCTACAGAGTCAAGAATAACCTACCAAAGGCAATACGGTTTAGCCTTCTTTGTATCGCTGAAGCTCTAGCCATCCACAAAAAAAACCGGAGCTGTGCATACAAAAAGAGGATTACTCAACCACTTCTACTGTCATGGTAACAACTTTTTTGATTTGATTCTTTGATTTTGATGACTTAATTTTGTTCCTTTGCCTGTTCTTTAATTGCTTATGATTCTTGTATTCATTTAGAACTCTTACGTAATTTCGTATTCTCTTCTTTGTTCCTATGTGTATCCTGAGTAAAACTCACTCATCAAACTATTCATATTATTACATAACTTCTTTTAACAACTGTTTGTGACAACTCATCACCTTTGTTACTACCCTAATTTCACTAACACCTAATTTTCTTGACTGATTTTGTGTTACGTAACTCCAATTACCAATCTTCACCTGTTTAGTTTAAATAACTATAACCAATTGTATGTCTGTTTGATAAACTTATTGTACACATACATACAAAATAACACACATATATTTGCGGTTGTACAGCTAAGAAAATGAATTCGCCGTTGAAAAGAGACTCTTCGCTGATCTACGTGTTTTGTTTCCATTAATGCCTGGATGGGGATTATACAGGGTTTTTAAATGTGTTCTACCCTCCAACTGTTGTCATGATTTTCTTCGTTAATTATCACCCACTTGGTTGACTTGTTGATATCGTCTAATTATTGTGAACGGACTTGTCACTACTAGCGTGATAAATTTCCCTACTGTATTGAAACAGACATATAAAATATATATTTGAGTAGATTCGTGGATGAGAATCCAATAGAAAGGTAAATATATCTTTTATCAATGGTTTTGCTTTCTATAATGAGTGACCTTGGGTTTCTTTTATCTTAACTTTAATGTTGATTTAT